CTGTCCCCAATACCAAAAAGCCTGGCACTGGCTATTCCTTGCCGGCCTGAATGTACCATGTATTATAAGGTTGCTATGGGGACCAATTGTAACCCAATTCCTTGCGAAACTTTGTAATAGCCAATGAAAGGAGTTATAGCATCCCCCAAAATGTCCCGTGGTGCAATTCGACTCAACACTGATCCAGTCTCGCTCCAAACCTCACGATGGTCAATCGGGTAAGCACAAGATCCCATCGGACACCTTATGAAGCTTATACAACGAAGTTTTCCCTGTTGCTTCTACACTGTTAGTGTATATCTACAGTGTACAAGGGAAACCAAAGCGACAAGGAATACTCTGTCGTGTAAACTTCATTAGGTGTCCAAGGGGTTTAAGGCCAATGGAATTTAATGCTAGCCAGCCAATCGTCCCTGACAATTTTTTTGCTTTTCTTTGCTCAGGTACCTCGCCAGAGAATGCGGAGAGTACTCCTCAAAGATCTTATTTTTGTAATGGAACAAGAAAAAGAGACAACGAAATCTTTATTATTATACAAAGCGTTACTCAAGTAGCCCGGCTCCCAGAGTCGTAACGTTTCGCATTCATGAACATCCAGGCACTGTTTCTAGAAGGGCGTGTCAGGGGTCCAACTTATATTTATTGTCACATGGTGCGTTTTGGGTAATAAAGATTACCTGGAAGTGTGCCAAACAGATACACAACATCCGCACAAGGACTTAATAGGACGCAACTGTATTGAAAGCGAAAGAAAATACCAAAAATCATTCCTTTTTGGTGAACGTTTTGTAAATTAATCTTAAGGTATCCAAGAATGCTACCAATTATGTCTAATACACGCTGGTGAAGAGATAACCATAAAAAGTGGGAGATGCTCCCCCCAGCTAAACCGTTTTAGGTTCGCCCCAATTTTTAAACGCTTTCGTACTCTATATTGTCAGTGTACCTAAACCCGTTTTTTGCCAGGAATTTTCAGTATTTAAGACCGAGTTTTCGACAAATTTCTTTTCACTTAAATCCGGGGAGTGTTCTTTTAGTTGAGATATATGCATGCCTTTCGTTGAAACTTTAACCCAATACTAAACTGCCGCCTGTTAGCCCTGTGCTGATAAATCTTCGTAAGGGGTTTTAGGAGGGTTTATAAACAGAGGGGCTTATATCCGGGGGGGGCTTGGAATAGAAAAGGGGCTTCAAAACAAACAACAGAGAGCTTTAGATTTGAGGACGAGTACGAGTAGGAGATTTTTGAAAAAGACATCCCGGAAAGCTTCATTTTATTTTATTTTATTTTTTTCACCAAAAAAGTTAGTACGGTTATTTATAGAGGATTTTCACTCACCTGGCCATCATCTATGCAAATTCATCGGAACAAAAGAAAGTTTTTGCATAAGAAAAGAGTTCAACTCCCACATGATTTACTTGGGACACCAACATGGCCGCCGTTTCATGGTTTTGGGACATCAATATGGCCGCCGTGACGTCATGTGAAAACACTCCATACTGAAGGAGGTTAAGCCCTCTCCCGATAGCAAAATGATAAAACTTCTTACGTTTGATAACTTGTTCCCGCCGCTACGACATTCTCGCTAAAACTCGACGGCTATCACGTTTTCCCGCCGAGATGACGCTGGTTGTTCGTTAACAGTACTCAAAAAAATCTAGTACCCGTAGTTTTCCTCGTCTCAGAAGCTAAACCTCTCTAATTGCAATGCTGAAAAAACAAAGTTTTGAATTTACTGGTCATTTTAAACTTCATAGTAAAAGTTCGTAAAGAATTGAATTCATTTCAATGCAAGCCAGAGGGGGGCATATATTGGAGGGGGGGTGCTTTTAATCGGGATTTTTTTGTTTTGTTTACAAATAAGTGGGCCAATGTGGTCCCTTCCCGAAGATTCACCGTCAATTGCCATCAGGGGAAAGCTGAAAGCGACTTACATTTGTGGCTACTGCGTAACAATTTCCCGATCGGAACCGTACCGTAAATGACTTTTATAAGTGTTATGGCCCAGGAGGGTGCCAGAAATTTTAAAATAAACAATAAACAGGGCTGTGAACAGCTCTTCTATTTACTTCAGATTGAGGCTAACCCTGTTAACATGCGTCTACTGTGCTTTTATTCAGCTGTCAAGGCGAACTCAAAACTGGATCATAAATTCGCATAAAAAATTCCTAAATTTGCTTTGGCTATAAAATGAGACAATTACTTTGGTACTATTCCAAAGTATTCGCAAAGACTAAAAATGATAACACTAATCTAGAAACACATTAAGCAAAAGGATCTGCTGGATAGTTCCTTGCATGTGTAATAGAACCATTGAAAGAAAGACTGGGGACTATTTTTCTACGGTAAGATCTCTGGGATCGTATTATTGTTTCCAAGGCAACCATGAACAGTCACAGCCACGATAGAAAAAGGCTTCAGTCAGGTTTCTTTGAGCCGTTTTACTCGACTAGTTTTTGATTCTTCACATAGAATGGTTAAGATACAAGCCAAATGCAAGTAAGCTGGCTTTTGGGTAAAAATGTTCTGTTCTACAAGTTTGTAAACTTGAACGCCGTCTAGACGTATATTCGTGTTATTTGTTGGACAGTAAACGTTTCATATAGTTAACTCGTGTAGTTAGGATATGATATGAATATATTTCGTATTTAGAAACAAATACCTCCCGTGATGGTTCGAATTAAAAAAGCAAATTTCTATACAAAGGAAAAACCTGTTTCATAGTTAGTTAAAGGGTTTATAACCTTTTGCGATTTCTTCTTTGAGCATCTGTAGACTGGTTCCGAGATTCTCTTTCTTTGTTTCTTGAAACGATAGAAGCCTGGGGAAAAGAAATAAACTTTGCGGGTGAATCCTGGGAGGGACTCGCTCTCCTCCGCAGAGGCTGCTATTTGGTATCCCAATAAGAAATGTAGCAAAAATAAAAAAAAAATAGCAAGCGCGCGTGGTACGATGGGAAGAGGGAAAAGGTCTCTCTTCCTCTCTTTCCCTTTCTCATCGTCCCACGCGCGCTTTGTTTTTTTCTCTCCCCAGCCTTCCTTCGACACAAAGAGACCTCTGCGCAGGAGAGGGGGAGGGACTTAAGTCAATGTGCAGTTCGTCCGAGCTTTCTTGATGCGTAATGCGGTAGAGTTTAATTTCTATAGCTCAGGAGGAGTTGGGATACCTTAATGCACCCTACACATCAAAGAAAACCTTAGTTAAGAAAATCCTAGCATTTAAGAAGGCATGCTAAAGTAAAGATAGTCAGAAAGCCTTGATCACGGTTCACTAAATTTATCTCTTAAGCACAACACTAAAAGAGCAATCGGTACCAACAACCATAGTTTTAGAGTATTTATATGGATTTTCTAAAAACTTAACCCTAATCATTATACATCGATACAAACCTATATTCGCCTAACTCACTATACCTTAGTGCAAACCATAATCTTGCTTACTTTCGTGCTCTATTGGCTTCCCTTACCAAACCAGAAAAACAAAAACATTGACATGTATGACTTAATTTCCTGTGCATGATTACACTCAGAAATAAAACGGTAGCCCATACTCTTCTTCTACGTCCGACAATGCAAATGACCGTCTCTGTTAAGAAAGATCGTTGAGATCCAGAATTTTTGCTACTATGACAACGTGACATCATACTTACCCCGTTTTTAAGCCTTTCCTGTGAATCTTCACCCTTCATGCCATAAAAAAAAGTGTTTTACCACCGAATGCGAGTTTTTAGTGTTCAAGTACCCTAGTTATAGGGTCTATAATATTTATGTCTCAAAAACATCTCACTCACCCTCGATTTGTAAGAGGTTTTAAGGTTCCTAAAAAATTCTCACTTTCAAAACGCACTTAGCCTCACTTTGAAACAGAGGCTTGTGGCAATTCGGATAAAGCTAATTTTGGATTGTTACTTTTTGCGTTGAAAAAGTTGTTACCTTTTCAGTCAAGAATTTTTTGATTTCCCATTTTACTAAAAGGTGTCAAGGAAACACGCATTATTGCGCAACAGTTTTCAACGACAGCAAATAAAAACAACAGGGGCACCCAACGACTGTTCGGAGAAGCAAATATTACCTAGAGTTTTTTATTACTTGCGGACGGCTAAAACTTTTTAGGTGACTGTTCCATTCATGTAGAATTTTCGAAGCTTATGTAATAAATTCCTTACGATTTTCTGAAGTTTAATTTTCACTTTTCACTTCCTAAGTAAGGTTATATATTTTGTAGAAAAAAAGGAAACCTAAAATTGTCGGATTCAAAAAAGCGATGGAGAGGAATCAGAAAATTACTCACTTTCGTAATTCGTCAAATTGCATCTAAAATTTTTGGGAAAGTAATACTCAAGCCCTTGTAATTTCGCAAAGATTCAAGTTCCCCTAGGATGACCGAACAGATTCAATTTTTAAAGCATTTCTAGAATGCATTTCTAGAGGAGAAAACCGTCGTTGGATGCCCCTAAAAGCAAGACAGCTGTCGATATAGCCCATTAAAGAACAGCTCCAAACAGCTGTTCCATCAAGTGTCATGTTGATGTCCTGAAAAAGTTAGTTTTGTAAGTAGTCACTCCTGCTTTTTCGCTTCTGTTTCTCTTTTTCTACCATACGTTTCAGGGAAGTGCCCGCAAAAATTCTTCTTAACTTTGTTACTAGTTTCCCCTTTCTGTTTCTCCTCTTTTATTGTGTATTTCTGAAAAATTAAATTTCGAAAAAGTCAATATTTCAAACTCTACAGGGTTGTTGTTCTAACTAAGCGCGCGCACAGCTTCAATTCGTCAAGCGTACACATAAAGGCAATTAAATTAGTAAACGCTTAATCGACCAATCAAAATACGCGCTTGTGTAAAGTTACTAATCATCTTATGTCATGAAAAAATAAAACATAAGCTGTTGGTCGGAACAAACTCGTCTATCTATTGCAGGAGAGCTAAAAGGCAATCTATTGAGGAAAAAAATACACAATACATCCGAATTAAGGTACCTGGGTATAAGTTCTATACTACAAAATGATGCAAACGCCGCTGATAATTAACTGTGTGTTAAACTCCTTTTTATCCTATACTACCATCACCTTGAACACTCTGACAATCCTTGCGCTGAGAAGAACATCGCATTTGTCAAAGACTCTCAAAATGCTACTCCTGAATCTTGCTGTTACTGATCTTGGCGTTGGTCTACTGGCTCAGCCTTCGTACGTCGTATATCTTGTGATGATTATACAAGGAAAAACTCAAACTTTGACCTCGGAGATCACATTGCAGATTGTTTATATCACAGGAAAATTTCTCTCTTATGTTTCATTTTTCGGTGTTGTGGCCCTAGCTGCGGACAGATTTCTATCCATTTATCTTCATCTTAGATACCAGGAACTCGTAACCTATAAGCGTGTTTTGGCTGTAGTGGTCTCAGATTGGCTCCTCAGTGCAATTCTTGCCTTGATTTTTAGCCTGCGTCCGCAAATCGAATTTTTCATTTCAGTGCCTATGGAAAGCGTTTGTTATTTAGCTACAGCTTCGTTTTATTTAAAGATATATCTCCTTGTACGTCGCCACAAAACTCAAATACTCACCCAGCGAATACAGGTAACTCAGGAACAGACTGAGAACGAAGCGAATGCGGCGAAACTGAGAAAATCTGCAACTGGTACATTTTACCTGTATCTTGTATTTGTGGCTTGCTATGTACCAAGACTGTGCGTAATGACTATCATAAAACGCGCTGGAGAGAGCACGGCCTTGGTGATACATTTGCGACTTTATACTTTCACATTGGTGTTCCTCAATTCCTCTCTAAATCCTTTGATTTACTGCTGGAAGATGCGACACGTTGGGAAAGCCATCATGGTGATACTGCGCAACTTAGCACCATGCCGACGTAACTGATCGCAGACGAACCTCCCTTAAGCAACCACCTAAAGTGAGAAGATTTAGTGGTCGCTTAGGGAAGGTGATCTCCTTCGAGAAGAGGTCCCGACACATCTACTATCAGCTGTACTATCAGCTGGGCAGAGAATTATACCCTAAGTGGTGTAGTATATACACTGAACAAAGAAAACCATGCTCGTGCGTCAAGCAGTCGCTTACAAGAGGTTAAAAATGATGGAAAACTATAAAAAGTGGTCACAATCACTTACGAGAGGTGGTCGCACAAATATCTCGCAATGCTTTGAATTAAGAACCAAATTAATATCAATGAATGAATGAATGAGAACTGTAACGTTTTGTAACGTTTTGCACCTACTAATTAGTTGAATTAGTTCTTAAATTTAGACTAATAGCTTTTGCAATACTGTAATTCCTTTATGGTCATGCAAATAAAGCATTTGTTGTTGTTGTATAACTGGGAAACAACTCCACTCCCTCCCCCTCTTGAGAAACACATAGGTTGTAGTATTTGTTGGTTAGTTATATATTCATATATGCACGAGGTGAGTCAGTCGTCTTTGCCAGGATAGCTAAGTTGATATAGTATGATATAGTATGGTGGCATATTGACATCTGGATGAATGTAAGCCTTTATATTTGTTCTATAAAAGTTCATTTTTTCTAAGACTAAAAAAATTGGTGACTTATGCATAAGAAATTGATGTCTTAATAGCGAGTCATAATTCATAGCCATTTAAAGACCCTTTAAAAAACAATTAATCGACGCATGCGCATAGCCATCTGCCAAATTCGCCAACTTAAAAGACCAAATAAATGTGAGATGAGATGGTAATCTAATGTGTGTATTTCGACCAAAAGAAACACACCAAACGGTAGTCATATCGGACCAATTTTCTCTTTTACATTTATTACTTCCTTGAGTCAAGACCGTCAGTCCTGACAAGGCAGGGACACCCAACATCAATTTCCGGAAAATATCTGTTCGGAAGACGATTTGAGATCTGGAATCTTCGGAACATTCACTTGTAAAATTTCTTGCTTGCCTGCCTCTCCTAGGATTTTCGAACATCTAAAAAATGGTATAATTGCCCATTTTTAACCGATTTTTACCGTAAAAAGGTCACCTAGAATTTTCGGGAGCCTTTTTTCTTTCTGAAATTTTGGAAAGGGTAATTTTTGATCCCTATAATTTTCGGATCACTAGACTTTCAGCTAGGGAGTCCGAACAGATGAAAAATTTTTAGGGGATAAAAATATGCATATATCTACCGTTTAAATACTAACAATTCTATGTTTAAGTGGTTTTGAACTATGTTCTCGTTGGGTGACCATGACAAGGAGTGGCAAATTGTTTATTTTATAGACATGTCTAACGTACTAAATTTCGGACCAAGCCCGGGGACCAAGCCTCAGGGGGGATCGGATATCGTAATGATCAGCGATGTCCCTACCATCCAGTGTAGTTAAAATGAATGGCAGATTGTTTATAAGCTTTGTGAATGGGTGGGGAGAATGCAATACTCCGAATCCTTTACCCCCTTTAGAGTTAAGAGCCCTAATATTCACAGACACATTCTCCATTCTAACCTCCCTCCATCTCCTTAGAGAATAGTTGAGAGAATTTAATGAAAGGGCCTTTTTCCTTAAAGACCAAGTTATTAATTTTCATGGTCTTTCCTCTTTATACTATATTGAAATTGTAAGGAGAATATTGTTGTTGGTAACACTTTAAAGGTTAAAGTGTGTGTAGCTTTAATTACTGGTCCAAAGCGCTATAGAGGGTGTCTGCTTAATCGGGGGTACGGTGAAACCTTTATTAAGCGGACCCCCAATAGCGCTTTCCACTAATGACGTCCCAAATTTCTGGTCCCTGCTGTTACTCAGAAAGACTTTCTCTTAGCAGTGGAACACCAAAATAGCGCTAACTCGCCGAAAACGCTTCAAAACGGCCTGAGACGCGGGCAAACAACAAAGAATACAACAAGGCAATAAGGTACGTCGATTTTATTAAAAAACATAACATATTTTCTTTCTTTTAAAAAAAACCGTTTACACCCCATACAAGCCGTTGTAAATAACCGTTTGTAACACAATACCGCTCACAAGCAAGAGTCACGTCCGCGTTCATGTAATGAGTTTGGGCCGCCTGTGGGTAAAATTATGTTGAAATGTGTGGAAAGCAGGGCTTCATAGCTGTGCATGAAACGTTGCAGTTGGTTAAATTTATAGGGAAAGGTTGCTCAATTTTTTTCGAGTGCTTATGTTACGCTACTTAGTGCTACAGGATAAAGTACATTCATATGGTCTACCTGGTCGCACAAGGGCGTCGATAAAACCCGGAACACGGAACATTCTGGAACATTCCGGAACATCCCGGAACATCCCGGAACATCCCGGAACATGAAAAAATAATAGTAATTTTCATGAAAAAAAATTAATTAAATAAAATGATAATAATAACATAGTTTTTGTAAAAATTAATTATTATAAAAAAATAAAACAACAACAACAACAACAACAACAAAAACCAAAAATAAAGAAATGGTTAAGAAAAAGAAACTCATCTCCGAGTATCAGAAAACAATATTTTGTCGCAAATAATTTGTTGGGCGAGTGAGGGTCCAGGCAAATGACAGTAATGAGTGAAGGCTTGCTTCTAAATTCAAAATATATTAAAATGGGTCGCGAGGAGGGAGGTTTTCAAACTTTACTCACACAGTTACGTCTTGTAATTGTTTGCCATTAGTTACTAATCATTTGGCCGTTAACCATTTACGGTTCTGCGATGGTCTGAAATGTCGGTGCGGTATGTCATGTCAAGCCAAATCGGTAATTAAGTAATTCATGTCAAGCCAACAAATAGTTATATATAACCGACTTGCGCTTACTTGAGGTGCTTTGCCTTCTTGAGGTTGACATGAATTACGGACAGACTATAGGCTCTGTGAACTTAAGAATAGCTAAGGGGCTCCTGTCTTTCGATTTTAGTTGACAATACTCATATTCGTAGTAGTTTCTATACTGTTTACAGTCAGCCTGATATTTCAGACGTCTCCTCGAGTCGCAAGAGGAGTTTGCGACTCGTGAAGACGGCTCAAAATTCAAGCTAGTTTACAGTCCCCTCTTTGTTCCCGGCTGGTTTAGGATGGCGATTGCCGCTGTGATTTAATTTGGGCATCCCCTGTGAGGTTGCATTTTTTCCCACTCTGTGTGCTGAAACGCTGTCCCCCCACCCCCTATATTTAGAGCCCAAGCCTAATTTATCGAAGACACTTAAAGGTTTGCTTATGCGACTTGTTATTTTTGAAAACTCTATTTTTCAGTTAAATTCACTGAATATTGCAGTATTCGTTTGTTACGTGTCCGGGTCAAAGGTAACTAGGAAACGAGCCGTCCGTCTTTGTTTGTTTGTTTTTTTTTATCCACCTTGCAAAATATATCATCATCTCGGAGCATTTGGTTCCATCGTATCAGTGTCCTGTCTGGGGTCTAAAACGGGCATAGGAAGTCTGTGTGGATCTGCATGATCACGGAAATCACAACAGCCCCTCCCATAACAATTGTAGTTCCACACGCACACGTTAGCAAATTAGCACCAACTTCACTCTCATCAGTTTAGCCGTCAGAGGATACCCAAATCACTTTGACAGCGGCGATCGCGATTTTCAACTTGGCGGAGGAAAATAGGGGGGCTGTGATCTAGCTTGAATTTCAGCCATCTCCTCGAGACGCAAACTTCACTTGCGACTCGGGAGACGGATACAATTCAGGATAACTGATAACAGTTAGAAACAGTTAGAATCTACCGCTGCGCTACCACTGCCACTGCAACTGATTCACGGCGAATGTGAATCTTATCTACTAAAGTCCAAAGCGACGAGCCCCTAAGCTCTTCTTACGGTCGAAAAGCCGTAAATGGATAACCGCATGGCAAACAATTAGAAGGGGTGGCTGTGTGAGGAAAGCTTGAAAACCCCCCTCCTCGCGACCCATTTTAATATATTTTGAATTTAGAAGCAAACCTTCACTCATTACTGTCATTTGCATGGACCCGCGCCCCACGCATTATTTGCTACAAAATATTGTTTTCGAATTCTCATACCCGGAGATGATACGAGTTTCTCTTTCTTTATTTCTTTCTCTTTCGGTTTTTTGTTATTTTACGTTATAAAATTATTTATTTATTTTTTTTCATTAATTTTTTTTAATTTTATCATGTTCCGGGATGTTCCGGAATGTTCCGTGTTCTACCCACCCCTTTCGACGCCTGCTACGCAGGCTACAAGCTAAGAGCAATGTCAATCCGAAGTAAGGTAATAAAGAAAATACGTATTAATATTATAAGTTTATCAATGTAAAGAGAGTAAGGCTTCAAGAAATTTGATTGCAACAGGATACAGTTCATTAAAACATCAATAGCAACAACAACTGATCAGCTTTCAGGACAGACAGCACAGACACATTTTTCCCTATCCCCTACCCCTTTCGACGCCTGCTACTCAGGCTACCGTGTTCCGGGTTTTATCTAAACTACGAGTAGTCCCTCATTTTTCCTCAGGGATAGTACAGCGAAAGAAACGCAAGCGCGCGTGAAAATCACCCCACGCGAGAAAAGGGGACACGCGGCGGGGAGAGAGAAAAATTCTCCCTCCCCGCCGCGTGTCGCCTTTTCTCGCGTGGGGTGATTTTCACGCGCGCTCGTGTTTCGCTCGCTCTACTATCCCTGAGGAAAAATGGGGGACTACTAGTAGTCTAGGTTTTATCGAGCACAACAATAGAACAAACTTATACAATTTCCAGTTTTAACGTTGGTGTGCTTTTCACCTTGGATGTTCCGTCACGGGCTTGCGAGAAGCACATCCAAACTCGATTTTCTCTTTAGCAATTTCGGTTTTGAATTATTACACAGCCAATAATGTTATGTCATGTTTCAGTGCAAAGCGGTGCTTTCTGCCTAACACACAGAGCTAGAGCTAGGGATCCGATTTCAGTAGCCT